GTTCCTATAATTGATTTCACGGTCGCGCTATCTATATATTTATTTATTTATTTGTATGTCCACACTTACATTTCTTCTATACACGTTGTATTGGAGAAATAACAAGCCTTAGCAACCACCCGCCCACGCTCCTTTACGTGAGTGGGTGTGGCCACGGCAAACAAAATGGCGGCTTACACATGGGACAAAGTTAAGAGCTTTCTAACAGCAAGAGAGCATAGAGATACTGTCTAAAGACTTCTCTAGAAGCATTATAAGGTAGAGAGAGCCTCTATAAGTCTTAATAATGACCAAGTTGTACTTGCAAGGTGGTGAAATCAATTATAGGAATATTTTTTACCCAGGCTGTTACGCTTGTTGCTCTTAAATGACAGTGATTGCAACTACATTTTGTTTTGTACCTTTTTCTTGAAAGTGTTAAACAAATGATAACAACTAATTCAATCATTTAATAGAGCATCACTAGGTGGAGGTCACCCACTTTGTTTCATTTAAAAATATGATTTCATCTCTCTGTAATGATCAATTTACTGTTAAGTTTGAGAGGTTTGTTTTGTACCCTTAACTTAAAAACTAAATGGTCTATGACATCAACTATCACACTATTCTAATGCTTAGAACATACCGGAGGTCACTGGCACACTCTCAATCATATAGATTATAAATTACAGAAAATATACAATTAAACATGTAATATGGTGATTAATGATTGACAGTGCTGATTAACAATGAATTCCAACTGCAAACATCATGATTGCCACAGCAGACTACTTGGGCAAGTAGAAAGAGTGTCCCTCTACATTATCGAAGGGTTATCTGTACAAAATAAGACAATATGCAACCAAAAACTAATGAAATGTATGCCTACCTGCTTCACTTCTCCAGCCATTTTAAATTTTACATACGATTAATTAGAGCAAATTGGCCTAAAATTAATACAGTATAGGTAACTAGCATTTCCAGCCGCGAACGGAAGTTTCCAATCCCTTTCATTTACTCTATTATCTATGGGTGGGATAATTAGTGGGTGCGGTCAACCAGGCTTGCAGGATTTCATTTGGAAAGTCAAAATTTAGAAGATTAGGCCTCTTAAATGAGCTCCTTTGTGGTTTACAGACTGTTTACACAGTCAAGCACTGCAGCTGTTTCACAGTTTACATAGATAAAACTAATTTTATACTTCACCACAAAAATTTTGGGGGGCCATGGCCCCCCAGGCCCCCCCTAGATCCGCCACTGATGCCTGGTGATTATATTCTGTTCAGCTGCCCAACTCCTATCCCCGTACTGTGGATTTCACTTGCATTTGAACATTAAGTATTGCTTGGAGATCACATGCACCTAATAAACCATGCACAGAAAATCAACTCGCGCCTCATGCAGTGTTCAAACGGAAGTGAAATCCGCTGTAATGGCTATACTTTACGTGTGGTTTGTAATTGTGTCATGTTTTTACAAAAACTCAACCAATCGCTTGCTTTTATATTGATTTACCTTTTTCCTTTAAATTAAGGACTCTCATTCTAATTGCATGAGGATATTTTACCGTAATTCTTTATGTTTACAGAATATGTCACTCAACCAGTGTCATTGAATACAAGTCTCAATTCAACTGTCACCTTTACTTGTGAAGCAACTGGAGTTACTTTCATATTTTTTATTGTCAGTGAAAAACCGGCATCTGAAACTGTCAACGTTAACAGAGGGTTTATTGAATTAAGTCAAGACATTATTAATGGAACAATAAGAAGAAGACAGCTATTAGTTCATGCAAGAGAAATTAATAATAATAGTATTATATATTGTTTAGCTGTTACTTCATCTGGTAACATTAGAAGTGACAATGCTACACTAACAATACAAGGTAAGTATCAGTTTAATTGTATCATTAGTCACTTCTTTAGGTCTATTGGACAGTGTTGGTAACCTGGATTATACCTTTATTAATGGATCCAGTGTATTATTAACATGGACAGCTCCTTATACACTGGATAATGTACCTATCACTGGATACTATATAGTCAATGGATTAGTGAACATTACTACTACTAACAAGAGTATTAGATTATCAGCTACTGATCTCAATCCTTGTATATTAAATAATATATCAGTTTCTTCTATTAATGATGTTGGAATAGGTTCATCTAATAATATCAGTTTTTATTATGAAACAGGTTAGTCCTACTATGGCTTCATGTATATGTTCACAGTATCTTTCAGTTCCTCTCATTACTCCTCCTGTATCAGTGGTACCAGTAATTGATGGACGACTAATATCATTGAATATCAGTATTGATGTAAGTTAGTTCTGGTTGCTTTGTCTTGGCTAGTCTAGTGTGCTTTATTTGATTGTTGTACATGCTACTGCTTGTGTTTCGATCAGTATATTTTAGTGCAGTTACAATTTCTGTAACATTAATTTTGTCTGTGAATATTGTAAAGTTAACAATTATGGTCCCTTTCCTTCTACCATTATACATGTAGGTCAGTGGGCTATGCAATGGTGAATATCCTAATAGCATAACTGTTATCGTACTGAATATTGATAATGAGATACAAGATAGTAACAGTATATTAACACAAGTTAATGATCAGCTGATGATTACTGGAGTAATAACTGTACCTAATAATTTAAATACATTTATTGTTAATGTATCACTGAGTAATAATGGAGGAGAATTCCTACCTACACCTTCTATTGGATTTGGTAATAAACTATTATATTGTCTATTTTTTAATTCATTACTTTCTCTCATGCATTGTTAGGTAAAGCTGGTCCAGTTACTAACATTGACTCTTCAATTGACAACTGTTCTACTATTGATATAACATGGACTACTCCTACAGTTGATGATAGAGTATCTATACAGTATTACATACTAAGAATATATGATGCCATTACTGGTAGTCTAGTGAATACTGTAGCAGTAGGTGATACCAGTTATCAGTTTGTGGATAATAATTTATTTATTCATTGTTACACATTTGTTATTACTGGAGTTAATGAATTAGGAGAAGGAATATCTAATAATGCTACATTCTCATATCAAAGAGGTACAATAACAATAATTACTGAATGAATGATTTTGTTTATTTAGTACCAAGATCAGTTGAAGCAGCTTCAATTATAATAGCATTCAATGAGACTAGTACTACTGCTTCTTTTAATATACCAGTAATATCATTATAATTTGACAAAATTTAATTTTATTTACCTAATAGGTTGCATTGGTATGTACTGGTGAGTCTCCTGAGAATGCTACAATTACTATACAGTGTAATGGAACTGATGTTGTATTTGCTAATACATATTTAGTGGAGAATACTCTTGCACCAATGAATATAACAGGATCTGTACCAGTGCCATTGTATCAACAGTGCAATATCACTGTTGTATTTAGTAATGAGGCTGGTAGTAGTGAGCCATTTATACTACCATTTGGTGAGTTATCTAAAAGCATAATTTATAATTGATTTCTACCATGTACAATAATCACACTCCCCCATACATGAAGTGACAAAATACCACCTTCTTACATTACTGCGGCAATTTGATTTTTCAGTAGTAACTAGGCATAGTAAATTGGCTCCTAAATCATATAGTTGTTATAAAGACAACTATAATGTGTAAAAAAATGTGTAAACAATGTGCCGATAAAATATTTGCCAAATTTTTTTATAATGAATGCATGCTTGCACTTTCTTACCACTGACCATTTAAATAGACTTTGAACTATAGCAATTTAATGGGCACTTTGAGTCTTTATTTTTCACTGTCTTCTTAATAATCAATAAAGCACCAAAGCATCATTTTGAAATTTGCAAAAAATTGTTCAAAAGGTGTATGATATTCATATTTACTAACCTTTATGATTCAATCTGATTGGATTAAAACTGTCTGCAATGGCAGAAAATAATATTTTGTAAGCTAATGTATAATAATTATTTTGTTACGGTATAGGTTGAAGTTTTTGTGGGTCTAAATTTTTGTGGTTTGCTCCTAGTGGGGCAATTTGTGGTTTAATTTTCGTGGTTGACAGTTTACATAGCCTGTAAGGGAATGGCACTTTTAATGATTTTGTTGGTTTAAATTTCGTGGAAAGCCCCAAAACCACAAGAGCCACGAAATTTATATTCCACAAAAATTTCAAGCTATATAGTATATTTTAATATATTCCTCCTCATTAGTTGCTACTATTACATCAACTACTGCTACAATTGAAACTGAAACTCCATCAACAAGTATAACACACACATAGAAAAGTGTTGTATATTTTTGAAAATAGATGAAAGCATTGATGATAACATTGTACCTCTTGTGGCTGGTGCAGTCAGTACTAGTGTTGTATTAGTGATATTGTTCATATTAACAATATGTTTCGGCACAATAATTGCTATTAAAAGAAAAAGCAAGACAACAAAAGAGGTTGTACATTTTGGTAAATATTGCATAATTATGCAAAGTGTTTATGATGATATTATAAGAACAAGCTGATTCCAATGAATATGAAGAGACTCATAATATAGCAATTACCACATCACCTGTACAACTGACTAGTAACAGAGCAATAGATGATGAGAATGATAACGAAGCAATAGGTGATGAGAATGATAACAGAGCAATAGGTGATGAGAATCCATATCACGTTACTATGAGTGAGGTAATCTTATTATTAATTTAATTATAATATACACAATGCACTCTAATAACATTTTGTCCCTCGACATGGTGTTAACATTGTTATTCAATTGCTACAATATCTGTTCCATTATGTTATTTAGTTCCTTACTTGTGAACACACCATTCCTTCACACAATGTTGAGGTGAGTGCTATTCATATGACTGTTGTAATAAAATTATATCAGTTATTATAGTCAGTGATGTAATAGTCAGTGATGTAATAAGCATACATACATGTACCATTAGGCTTCTAGTCAAAATAGGCTTATATTTGTGTAAGGACTTACATGGCATATAGTTGCTTGTTTTTCCTTCTTGATTATCTTTAAACTTAACATAAACAACATAACCCAATTGATAACAATTTGAATCGTTATAATCATTATCCTAGTCCTAAACATACATAAAGTGCAGATACAAGAGATTTACTATCCATAGTTTAAGCTTTTTAAAATGATAATTATAATTAATGATTAATATTAAGACAATGATGATAAGTCAATGACAGCTCACTGAGCTCAGTATAATGTAAAAGTATATTTTATAATTAGATTCATAGTTTGGGACTATTGTTATTTGTAATATTATTCAGGAATTGATGCAACAAGAGCAAAACATATCCCTTCCATCAATGACCAAATTAGAAACAAATGTTGAGGAGAGTATAAAAAGCACATCATCAACAACAACATCAGTTATTTGTGATACGGAGCCCAGTACTGATTCCACTGCTACTGGTAGTAACATATCTATTACTTCTACTGTTAGCAACACTGCTATTGCTACTGCTGATGTTTATGACACTACTGCTGCTAATTCAACTTATGCTAATCTTGGTAAAAGGACAAATACTACTCCTTTTCCTCCTGCTGCTCAAACTGTTATATATGATAAAGTTACTGGAGATATTAATAAGGTATCAACATGAATTAAATGATGTTTATACTTAACATTGTCTTGTAGAGAGGAGGAGGTGTCACTGTCTATCAGTCATCTGAAGACATGTTAGTTAATAGTGTTATTTTATCCTGCTCTGATTTTAATTTTATAGTTCTGCTATTCCTCCTCCTCCTTCCTATGATGATACTGTTGCTCAAGAATGCAGTGCTACTGTGAGCATCAGCTCTCAGTTTGTAGTACCAGTAATACCTCCAGTTGCTGATGCTGCTGTTGTTCATGGACAATATGGTATTAATATAAATTTTAGCATCATTTAATGCTTATTTTTTACACAGAAAAGTATCCACCAAAAAATGAATATGATTATGATATTAATACTCCAGTAGAAGATGATACTTGCTCTACTGATAGTAAGTATTGTAATGTTAATAAACATAATATTCATCATTTTTGTAGCTGAAATTGTGCAACCAAATACAACATCAGTCCCTTTAAACAAAGCTGATGTATATGATCGTAGCGGATCTATAACTGATATAATACCAATGAATGTGAATAAAGTTTTACCTGCTCACTTTCCAACGGAAAATTCCTTCATTGATAAGTCACTGAGTGTTGAAGAAAAACCAGGAGAACTTGTAACAGACATTATGTTAAACAATTCAACTGAAGTGGTATAACAATTAATATTATATTCATGACAACTTTGTAAAATTATTTTTTATTATTACCAGGTTGCTACAAGTTGTCAAGTAATGACAAGTAATAAGTACAATACACCGAATGTTTTTGAAGATGATTCAGATTATGAAAATTATGGGGTGATTACTATTTTAAACATGGAAGTACTTTATTTAATTATTTTGTTTAATTTAGGTACCAGAATTAGTGCCAAGCACTCGCAATAAAGTAAACTTACTAACACAAATTTTTCGATGTTTTTTTATCATAGTCTGAGCAATCCTTATTGTCTTGTGTGTTCATATAATACACCAAAATTTTTAATTCATGTAATGTACATGTATTTAGTCTTTTTGTTTCATTGCTGAATATAATTGATCACACAACAGGCTTTTATAATGCTATTGTAGGTATTTATATCTGATGATAGTACAGGGACTTTGGCCCAGTTTTAGAGCAACTTTAAACTTTGTAAAAAAATCAATTTTGATCAAAACCAGCTCAAACTTTCTACACAACATAAGTACATGTATATATATCAAAAAAAATTATAACAATTGAGAATATTCATTTTGTCATTTTTGGCGAAATTTGGCCAATAGTCAAATATGTACAGGGACTTTGGTCAGATTTTGGAGCACCTCTAAAAATTTGTGAAAAATTCAATTTTGATTGGAATCAGTTCAAACTTTCTACACAACATAAATACAGGAAATGGTACAGAAATGGAGATTAAGATTGGAATTTTTTCTTTCTGGATGAAGCTCCTTTGCTCTGCTGAAAAAACAGTAAGATACACCTTTTCCCCATTGAAGACTGTACAAAGTATACCCCCATTATGGCAGCCAGAATAATTTTTTCATGTACAGTATCCAAATGACTATCATTAAAAAGTCATCATGCATTTCATTCACACGGATTCGGTTGATAATGTGTGGGGACTTGTGTTTATGTACATCAATGAGCAAATTCTTAGTATGTACTTTATAGTATGCACAAGATTTGTACAAGTACAAATCTGAAAATTCCAATTCAAATTATGTATTACACTGTTCTAATGTGACTATACATAATACCAAAATTGATAAATTATGTACTATTGATAATACTAGTAGTAATTACAGCACTATTTAGTGTAAATACCATTACAGCTAATAGTATTTGTGTAGAGTTTGCTACCAATAATAGCAAGTCATTATTCATGTACAGGTACATAAATAAACAAATTCTTAGTCTGTAGTAGGTAATGTGTACATGAAATCATGAACACAAATTTGTTCTACAAGTACAATTATAAAAGTTCTAAAAACATTATAAGCTAATTTAAAAGTGCATGCACGACTAGACGTGTACATGTCTTCTTAGAATTCCAAATTTGTACAAGTACAAATCAATCTCACTTGTAAACAGAAGCAAAGCAGATACCAATCACAATGTCACTCTTAACTAATTCTCCTTCTTTCCCCTTATATAATGTAATGAAGTATATCCTTTTCTTTAATGATATGCCAATGAAATCAATACCATCAACAACACTACACCCAAATACATCAATTCCATCAACATTAACATTATTATAAATCTGTTTCTATTCAATATCACCCCAAGCACTCCTATTACAAATATAAGTATCGCCCCTATATATATTACACTCATGATTACCTGGGAGGAATCGAACCCACATACTCTGTTCCAAAGTCGGACATTTTTCCTTTAAATTACAGACATGATATTAAATGTAGTACTTTTTAGTATTATATCACTGAAATATGAAGCCATGCATAGACATAAAACACTTACATTATATAATACAATACTATTATGTACACTAGTGACACTAGTGATATGTATCTGTATTATGAAATAAGGATATAACGCTTTGATTTGGCAGAATTTTGTTTTGGCAATTGCATGGCAATTTGTCAGCAAAATTGCCAATATTAACTCTGCCAATCATTAATGGACATATTCAATAATATACGTGTATACAGAAATTGCCAAATTAAAAGCCACAAGTTACAATTTCATGTCTAAATAAAGTACTATACAGTAGATACTGCATATACTGATAGTGACGTAGTGCAGGAATCACAACAAGTGTTTTGTTTACTCTCCTATGAATCACATCATACATAACTATATACATATACAGTAGTAGGTTATTACCATTGATTGAATGTACAGTCGTGTTATTATGTCTGTGATTGTACTCATAATGACTTATTATGCAAGCATGGCTGACCATGCAATTTTTAGTAAACAATAAACAAGATGAAAGAATGGAAAAGGAGAGAAATATAAGGAAAATTATCTAGTTAAGCAAATACAAAGTTAAAGCACCTACTACAAGTTATGTATTTCTTTACAATTAACTCATTGTCTCTCTAATAAACTATAGATCATAAATTGAGAATTATAGTAAAGATGATATCAATACCATCAATAAAAACTAAATTATGAATATGATCAACTAAAAAGAATGAATTTTCTAGTTGCATTGTATTAATTAAGTATCACAACTATGCATCAGATTCCATATTTGGAGAACAAGTAGTCTATATAAGTCATCACTCGCAGCCTGCAAGTATACACTAGTTAGTCAGTACAGACAGTAGCTATGTCTCTCCTGTTAGTGGTTATTTTCTTATTCGTCAGTAGCTCCTGCAGTGTCTCCTCTGGTCAGTATTATGTGTCTGATGACTGCAGTTCAGTTACTCAGTCACCTTGTAATCCTTTATCAGTGTATGCTGGGAATATGTCTCAATACAATAACACCATATTCTACTTCATTGGAACTAGTGTCATTAACTTTTCTGTCACAATGGACTCAGTACAGAATATAACTCTACATGGACTGGACCAGTCTTCTACTATTCACTGTATAAATAATGAGTTTATAACAGTCACTACCAGCAGTCATATCAGTTTCAGCAATATATTATTCCTACAATGCTACATACATCTTAGTTTTTCAAGTAATATCACAATTACTAACTCTACTATATTTTTTGAAAAAATGAAATACTTCATTAATAAACGTAGTTCAATGAAACTATTAAATGTTTTTGATAGTAAGATAATATCTTCAACTTTTGACAATGTGTCTCCACCAAGTATTGAATATGATCCACCTTCAGTGTGTTACAATGAATTACGCCATTACTCATTAACACTGACTAATGTT